TTATTTCTAGCCATTGTGTCCAACAATTCAATCAAATTAAATTTTTGTATCGAACAATTGTCTTTTTAAACAATGGAAAAAATTAAAATAAATACAAAATAAAAAGCTCAAAATTCGTTTGTTGAAAAAAATTAGATTGAAATAGTTGGAAACAAGCTAAAATTTGGTCCCCGACAAACTTTTAGCGAGCCATTTTTTTATAATATAAGAAAAACAAAACAAAGACATTCTAAAAATTAAAATACATTAATAATTTGAAAATTAATATTATTTTTTTCAATTTCTAAATTTCTTTGTTGATTTCTTAAAAAAAAGGTCCGTTATTTTATTTCTCAGGTTGCTTGTTTTTGTAATCATCACGAGACTTACGCGTCACTATTTAAAATCAACAACCAATTAAAAGCTGCGCGCAATATTCTGAAGAAAATCTGATCGTGGACGCTCCATGCGACTGCCGAAAAAGTTCGCGCGAACTTGTGGTCGCGCGACCAAAGTTCGCGCGAACAAAAATTTGATCGTGGACTAAGCTATAATGCATCTCTCTCGGCAGCGCACGCGTTTTTTTCCTCGGGCTCGACTTTTCTATTTCGGGAGCCAGACGATCACAAAGTTCATCTCTATGAAAAAGGCGAGTCTAAGCTCGCGTAGACACAACGTTTCGCTCTTCGGTCTTATACATTCGGCAATAAATATTTATTAGCATTATTCGCCGATCACTCTGCGAGTGGGGCGAGCTCAATAAAATCGGTCGAGGGCCATTGTGTTTTTGTTTTTGGCCGGGCCAATTTATCGCTTTCCGAGCACAAAGGCGAATAAATAAGCCAATAAAGTGGCCGTTTTGAATAATACATTCAAGAGAGAAGAACCGCCTGCGCGATAAATCGCGAAAAATCAGCCTCTCTGGAATAGAAAAAATATTTATCAGAGAGGAAAACAAAATAACCGAAATGGTTTGGTCTGTGTTGTTCTTTTTTGTGCGTTCAAGGGAAAAAGCAATTTATCATGCGGGCAACAAGAAAATCTTTTTAGAGGTGGTGTCACTTCTCTCCTTTTTATTTGCCCTGACCGTTTCACCTGAGGAGGCGACTTGCTGTCCGACGGCCGTGGCGTCAGCAGGGAAATATGTTGCAATTTATCAGGGGGCGCAATCGCCTTCCAGGAAAATATATACGATCGGTGTGATATTTTTTTCTGTTTGTTATTGCACAGGGGTGATTGATTGTTTTGTTTGTTTGGCGAAGAGAAGCCTCTGCATCCGATTGTGATACTGTCTTCTTGCAGCTGCGGATTGCAGTTATGCCGAGTGAGGCGAGTGAATTGATAACATCAAAGGATTCTGTGGTCACTTCTTCATTATATTGGCCTGACGCGCGTGCAGGTATAAACATTGTTGACGACTCGAGTTGTTGTTGGTTGTCAGAAAAATTTCTATCAAACGAGCGTGAATAACGCGGGTCGGATATTAGGAAATACCTTATTCCAACCTGAAAGTTTGTCAATGTTTTTAAAGTATAGATACATATTTTTCAAAATAAAAATATTAAAAAATAAAAAATAATAGGTTTTTTCAATTGGATAAAAAAAAAATGAATGGGGTTTTTTGGAAATGCATGTTTTAAGATAGAGTTGAGTAAAATCACTTTTAAATAAAGGGTAAATATGCCAAAACTTAAATTAAGATCAGTTACTTCAATACTTTCAGTGAACTATTAGTTGATCCTTATATTTATATTTATTTAAAACGAAATTTCAATTGCCCTACTTTCAATAAATTTTAACTTAAAATGTGGTTATCCATTAATTCATTTATAAACTAAAGATTAATTTATAAAAACGCGCCTATGAAAAATTTTTGCCATTTATATGTTCAGATCTTCTTTTTTTATTTTTAACTCATGCAGATGCGTAAAATTTGACCCCACGAAGCAAAAAGATCAGACTCGGCGCGAGAATGCTTTAATAGCGAGGCGGCGCCATCAAGGATTATTTTGGGAGAGTTTGGAAATTAAAGGGGTTGGCCGAAAGAAGAGGATACTTTTTGGGTCTTTAGAACTTTTCCTTTGCTTTATGTACAGACCAAAGGAAAAAAACATAAATGGTTTTCCTCCAAAAGGAACTAGACGCTAGCCTAATTAAAAGCGAATTAAATAACAACGCAAAGGCTTTCAACGGGGGAGGTTCTGTTAATTTTAGGGTCAAATAATATGCTATTAATCTCTTTTAGATGAAACTCCGCGCGCCAAGTAAGATTGCATTATTGTGTATGAAAACGTTAACCAAAGCAGGAAATCCTACTTGGACTTTAAACACGTTTTAAAAATAAATTTTGACATGAAAACAAATAAACAAAGGGTGCTTATCTCTTCCTATAAAAGTAGAGATGCGAACCAAAAATATTTTCATACCATAGAATTTTGCGGAAACCCAAGGCAAAATGAAATTGGCCGCTGTGATCGCTAGTCTGCTGTTGCTGGCCCTGAATGTACTGGCCCAGGACATTCCTGTCGAGCAGGTCGAAATTGGTCTGCGGGGATGCGGAGGAGGAGGTGGCGGTACTTGCGATCCGGTATGTATTAAAAAGGAGTTAAATGAAGACATCACTTTTTTAATACAATTATTATTATTTCAGGAGCCAATCTACAATGCTTTTTGCAACGGTCAAGAACCCCTCAAATTTCCTGTCATTGCCAGGATGTGCTTCTTAAGCTGCGGCAAGTGTTTGCCTGGATGCTGCAAACCATAGACGCATAGTCGATCGAGTTAAATTGCACGTGAACATTAAAATTATTTTATGTTATTTATGTTTTATTTGTTTAATTATTTGTTGAACATAACATTTTTGAGCCGAAATAATTAACAATTTTTTGTATGAAAAGCTCAATTTTATTTATTATTATTTGTAAGTGACCGACTGTGTGGCACAGTGATTAGTGCGCCTGGATGGAAGGCAAATAAAATGCAAATAAAATCATAGAAGATTTAGTTCTTTGGGCTGGAAAAAGGTTTGGAATACATAGAAACAAAACCGATTGGCATAGCTACAATTCAGAATAAGGCATCTGCAATCTCTTTCATTTTGTTTTATTTATTATTATTATTATTTTTAATAACGTGAATGTCAAATCACGCGTAAAATTAGCTTATTTTGCAGAATACTCATCATACTTCATTTTTATAAAAACCGCGAATCTGATATATGGATAAAAAATTAATTTGATTTTTTTGAGATTTGTGTTAATCGACTATTATAAAAATGTAATACAAAGTATTTAATGTTTGATTTAAAAAGTTACAAGAATGTGGCACTCATTATAAAGAGATAAATAAAACTTAGTGCAGAAGGACAAAAATTAGAAAGAAAAAAAAAATACATTTTGATTCTTACTCCTTAAAATTTTGGCCTTGTCGACAGTTTGGCCCAAATTGAGCTCACATGCACTGCTCTTCACGCTTTGATGTGGACACAAAAAGCAACGCATGTGTGTGCGTCTATTCAATCGGTCATGTTTACAATGTGACAGAAAAGGCAGCCACGCATATTGTGAAAAGAAGAAGTCCCTGCTGCTGCCTGTAGATGTAAAAAAGGTTAGTTAAGCTGTAATCTGGGCAACGAGGCACGTCTTGCAAAGGCCCTTTTGTGTGCCAACTGAAGAAAGAGCCAGGAGATTACTAGCGCATTCACGAAGGGAAAAGGCACTTTTTCCCGGTCAGAAGGAAGCAAAGGGGAGCCCCTCAACTCTGTATGAATTTCCTGCCTTAACGCCATGACAATAAAAATCTATTTCTGCAAGGCAGATGTTGGAGATTATTTGCTGTTTGTTATCATTATTATTATTTTTTTTTTCAGAAGATGAGAAGCTGGAGCTTAAAAAAAGGGTGAAAATTTATTCTTATTGACTTATTTACAGCTCTAAACAATTTTCCAGCGTTGAAAATAATTTTGTGGAAGTTGCTTGGTCAAAAATTAGCATTTTTATTCAATAATATTGTCCTAAACTTCTTAATAAAAGACTGACAGTTGGTCTGCTATATCTCAAATATTGAACTGAACAAGGAAAAGAAATAAATAAAACATTAAAAACCATTAAACAAAACAGATTTTTCTGAATTTTGAAACCTGAAGATGAAATATCAATAAAACATCACGAACTTTGTAAAACCCCACACTAAAACTCCAACAAAGAATACACAAGCATGATTAACATGCATTTAAAAATAAGTGAAATCATCAATCAAGTTTCAAAATAATACTTAATTAACAAAAAATACAACTAAATCTAGATAATTCATGAACTTTTCCTGACTGAAATAAAGGAATGACTTGATGTGGAATTATATGACTGAATAAATCAGAGGTTTCTCTAGAATTTCCGTAACATTTTTCCTCGTTAAATGGGGTTGGAAAAATGGTACAACTCAGTCTAGCTAAAATTTTGTTATAAAATTACAACCCATCTCATCTCCCTTCTCTAACATTTAGTATAAAAATGCTTCATGCCTCATATAATATTAAAAAAAAAAAAAAAAAAAAAAAAAAAATCGGAAGAAGGAAAATTTTGTTCTTTCTTTCAATTGTGTGTGGGTTTACCGCGTCAGACAAGTTTCGTTTGATGTCGTTTAGCAGAAATCTACTATTTGCTGTAAACACTTCCTTCTCCCTTTTCAAAATTAAGATTTTGTTTATGACATAGAAAAATAAATGATCATTAATTATAAATAAAATCAAATAAAATATTCATCATTTTTTGTGGAAATTCAATTGACATGGTATTGCATAAAGATAAATATATTCCTCAGATTTCATTATAATTTTAATCTGGGATGGCGTAACAATTCTCGCAACCATAAGCGAGTGCAGTAAGTGTAAAGTAAGATAGTGACGCGGTTGTGTCAAAAACCTTTGCTGATCTTGCGAAATCTAGCTATCTTATGAAAAATCGCCACCTTTAAAACTACAAGCATTTCGCAAAATCTAAGAAAAATAACAATCAGCACAACTCAGAGTTGGTATAAAAATGGACAGTGTCAGAACCAAAGTATCCAGTTCACCAGCTGATCTAACCAAAAGCAACATGAACTTCGCTGCAGTTTTCATTGGCCTCATGATGGTCGCCCTGGCTCAAGCCGCCCCTGCTGACTTTGCTCTGAGTAACGCCATCTCGGATGCTGTCGAAGCTCCCCAAGTTGGCCTGCGTCAATCAACTCCTGGTTGTGGCTGCAAATCCGTAAGCAATTCTTCAAGAATCATTTGTGTGCCCACAACTATTCTAATATGGTAAAATACAAATTCCAGGATTTCTATGGACTCTGCAACGGACAGGAACCCCTGAAATTCCCTGTCGTCGCCAGGATGTGCTTCCTCTCATGCGGCAAGTGTTTGCCTGGATGCTGCCCGACTTCTGCTCCTACAGGTACAGGTGCTGGGAAGTAAGAATTATCAGTCGGATGACTTCCGATTACGGAGTCACCATTTCACGGAGACGAATAAACTTCATTTAAATTATTTAAAATATTGGAAACCATATCTAATAAATTCGATTTACAACTTGCAAAACTATTTTTTCTTACTTGAAAAATTGTACCATAAAAAAATGCTTGTTATGCCCTTGCCATAGAGAATTATATTTACATAATATAATACATACCCTGATCCAGTTGACAATATTAATATATTAATTTTAAAATTTTGCATCCAGACATTACAATAATATAAAGTTGAAAAATGACACTCAAGGGGGAATTCAAGCAAAAGAGAAAATTGGCTTCCGCCTAGTGGTAAAGGAAAATATGAAAATTTACCCCCAATTCGGACCTTCAATCTGCTGTAACTTGAAAACCCCCAGATATTATTGTGTCCACGGGAGGAATTGAAATAAATAAAAAAATGGAAATTTATTAAAACTCCCTATTTCCAATGCCTGATTAAATTTTTCAAGCAATTATATCACCCATTCACAAGCACTTTATAATGAAATTCTCTGCCTAAGCCTTTGTCTTTCTAATTCCACATACAATCGAGATGGATTCATATCAATTGAAAAATTAAAATCGGGCAAATTGATTTATATCTAGGGCTGAGCGTTTTAGTCGATCAACTATTTTTTTCTGATCTTCGCAGGATGTTAGGGTTATGAAATGAGCACGAATCATGCAATTTCGAGTCGATTAAGCTAGGGTCAAAATCGACTAAAATCGACTAAATGGACAAAAATCGACTATTTCGACTAAAAACAGACTAAAACCGACTAAAATAGCTGAAAAGAAAAGACTCGATTTTTTTTTTAAATTTGAGGCATTTGAGCTCTAAGTGAAAAAAAAAATGGTTTTTGGCAACCATCTAAAAATCTCGGACAGATCATTTAGATCATTTCTAGCTATATTTTTTGACAAAATTTTTTTCTACCCCTCACCCCTGGAGGCTGGAACCCTGGCACACCCTTGCAACGAAGTCGTGACAGAAAAAAAATGTTTTTTAGCAACCATCTAAAAATCTTTTTCAGACCATTTGGATCATTTCTAGCTAACTTTTTTTGAAACATTTTTTTTTTACCCCACACCCCTTGAACCCTGGCCCACCCTTGCGACGGTCTTGACTGAAAAAAAAATGTTTTTTAACAACCATCTAAAAATCTTTTTCAGACCATTTGGATCATTTCTAGCTAACTTTTTTGAAACATTTTTTTTTACCCCACACCCCTGGAACCCTGGCCCACCCTTGTGACGGTCTTGACTGAAAAAAAAATGTTTTTTAGCAACCATCTAATAATTTCGGACATACCATTTGGATCATTTCTAGCCAAATTTTTTGAAAAATTTTTTTTTTACCTTATTGCCTTAATTATTAAATTTTCAAAATCGACTAAAACAGACTATTTTTGCTCGAAAATCGACTAAAATCGACTTAATTTAGGCCGAAAATCGACTAAAAAAAGTCGACTATTTTGACCTCAAAAATAGACTAAAACGCTCAGCCCTATTTATATCAATTTGAAATCCAAATGAAACCAGCAACACACTAAAGTTTTTTATAAACAACAAAGAATAAAGATTTAACTTCTCTAGCAAGCCCCTAAAAATTTGGAAAATTCTGATCATAATTAAGCCACTTTTTTATGCAGAAATCAATTCCGGTCCCGTGCTACCCCTCATTTATATGCCAAAATGAAAAAAATGTCTACCATCAGCATAAATACAAGAGATTCTTGTGGACTTCTATACAAACGCTCAAAGTTCTCGAATTATTAATTAATTAAGGTTCAGACAAACATTTAAAGTAAAGGATAAAGATTTGATTAGAAGTTATGAAGTTTGCAAAAAGGTTTTGTCATAAAAAATGGAGCTGGTCCAGTTTTTTAAGGACAAATGACACGCGAATAAATTTCCCAATCACTCTCTTTCTGATCATTTCTGATAATATCTTCATACAAAGAAAAACGTTATTTGCAATTCCATGAAGAGCCGAGTCTCTTTGAATGCTGGGCGTTTTGGCAGACATCTGCTACGGTTGTAAACCCTTTCTTCTATTTTTTCCAACATTAAATATTTTATACTGTCCGATAAGAATAAATATTAATAATAACAATAATAATAATAATAATAACAATAATTATAAAAATAATAATAATAGTTTAACCACCTTAATAAAAACATACTTTTGAAAATTGGAATGGGATTATATTTTTGTTTGTGGTTTTCAACAATTACCTATAAAATAAAAATCTACTAAAAAGATAATAATTCTACAGATCATAATTTAAATCAAACATAATATAAAAAATATAAAAATTTGCATACAAACATATAACGAATTTTAATTAATTTCCAAAATTAATATTAAAATCTCATGTGATATTATTTCCAATAATCCCTGTGTCCTGTCCGGAGTCATCCAGGGCAGCGTCCTGGAACCGCTGCTGTTCAACATCTACGTCGCCGACCTGCGCGCTAACATTAACTCCGAATTGGTTCAGTACGCGGACGACGCCACCCTCTGGCGCAAAATTCTGAAACCCTCGGACGTCGCCCTGCTGCAGGCCGACCTGGACAGTGTCCGGGCGTGGTGCGACAACAACGGCATGTCCCTGAACCCGGCCAAGTGCCACGTGATGGACGTGACGCGTGCCCGGACACGTCGGCACGACATCTACAAAATTGGCGCCTCCACCCTCGAGTACGTCACCGACGAGCGCCTCCTCGGCGTCCAAGTGTCCAAAGACCTGCGGTGGAGCAAACACACGGACATCGCGCGCGGCAAAGCAGCAAAGGTGCTCTCGTTCGCGGCGCGCAATCTGCACGGCTGCACGCCGCGCGTGAAAAAGTTGGCCTACCAGACGATGGTGGTACCTCTCCTGTTCTACGGCACCCCCGCGTGCGCTGTACGTATAACATGGTTATCCTGGAAAGTTATCTCTAGTGAATGTCCCCTAATATATTTTATGTTATGTTATAATCAAATTATAAGGCATTAGATATTCTTTGCGGGACAAAATTTCAAATACCAAAAATATATATATGTTCAAATTTATTTGATAATTTTTAACAATTTTGTAAATAATTTAATTATGTGAGATTTATTAGTCTCCGTGAAATGGTGAGTCCGTAATCGGAAGTCTGCATGATGACTTTCATCTGACTGATAATTCTTACTTCCCAGCACCTGTACCTGTAGGAGCAGAAGTCGGGCAGCATCCAGGCAAACACTTGCCGCACGAGAGGAAGCACATCCTGGCGACGACAGGGAATTTCAGGGGTTCCTGTCCGTTGCAGAGTCCATAGAAATCCTGGAATTTGTATTTTACCATATTAGAAGAGTTTTGGGCACACGAATGATTCTTGAGGAATTGCTTACGGATTTGCAGCCACAACCAGCATCTGTTGTACGCAGGCCAACTTGGGGAGCTTCGACGCCGCTGAGAGCAGAGTCAGCAGGGGCGGCTTGAGCCAGGGCGACCATCATGAGGCCAATGAAGACTGCAGCGAAGTTCATGTTGCTTTTGGATGGATCAGTTGGTGAACTGGATGCTTTGGTTCTGGCACTGCCGCTTTTTATACGGACTCAACGTTGAGTTGATTGTTATTTTTTTTCTTCTAAACTTAGCGAAAATGCATAAACATTCAAATATCAAAAGGCTCAGTGCTGCTACTTGTTAAGCGCGTTTCTACACTAATGGATAGCTGTGGCTTCACTATATTAGTGCAGCAGCTGCGCACGACGACCGACGACACATTTTCACCAATTCATTACTACTGACAAAGAGAGGGACTTGCAGAACATTTTCTTGTTGAAAAGAAGCAACCTGTGGACAAGACACAACTTGACCAAAAACTTGGACAAGTTAACAACTTTGAAATTAAATTAAATTGATAATTTGCCTATAGCTTCAATAGCATTCACGTGTTTAATGTGCAAAGAAAAATTGAGTTTTTCGGGAACGTTTTAGTTGCAAATTGTGTTTATTGATCTATCACAAAGGCAATTGCTGCCCATAACGGGATACATCATTTATACATTCAAAATTATACAAGTTAATATAATGGAGAGAAAAGATGATAATTTTACATACAAATTTTTACAATAACAAAATACGAAACCAAAAGAAAAATTAACAGTTATTAAGTTGTTTGGACGTTTTTCTTTTTTCTGGATGCTGAAAGCTTGCATTTAGATGACTGCCTGATACTTCCGAATGCCGCTTTCTTTGTTCTTTTTTTGCTCTTACTCCTGGCAAAAAACTGCAACTCAAATTATGTTTAGTAAACAGGCTTTACTTTCGTCTTTGATTTTCGCCTCGCAATTCAGCTTTTATTATTCCAGATCAGTCCTTTTAAATTCTGTTTTAATTTTTGATTTCATTCATTCAGCCTATACTGGTTCAAATATAGCTGCAATAATTTATTTTTTAATGAGCTACGTTTTAAGCAGCTACTTTTTTATTGCATTCTGCATGCCCCGAATGTGACAATGTTGGCTACATTACTTTTTCCTTTTTACTTAGTTTATCTCAAATATCCAAATTTTCATCATTTTTTTTGCAATTTCAATTATAAATATTTCTAAAATATCAATCTTCAATAATTTTGGGCTTGATAATAGATAAAATTCAATTTTGCTCTTTTAGCGTTGGTTTTAATTTTTGTTGGTTTTTATATTGTTATGTAAATTATAATCTGAATTATTTTTATTTTTTACTAATAAAATGTGAAAAATAGAGCATATCTTATAAGAAGTATTAAAAGATACAAATAACAGCTAGAGAATTAAAATCATTAATTATATTTTAACAAAATAATTAAGATAGTAAAATAAATTTATATAGGGTGTTGACCCAGTTTTCCGAAGAGGTTTCGAAACGATTGCTTTTGTTTTTCCCATTTCTTGCTGGGCAGGTTGATCAACGCTGATTAGCAGCGTCACGTGGCCGCTAGAAACGTTTTTAGCGCGCGGACACGGAACAGCGCTTCAATTTCATTAAATATTAAATAGCTATTTATTCTAAAAATTACTAAAATTTAAGCATATCTTGTGAAAACACTGAAAAAATTTCAAACCGTTGC